AATATTCAATTATATATTAAATTATATTACATTGCCTCTTGAATTTTGCAAGAATTGCAATTACACTTTGGAAGTCTCAAAGCTTTTCTTACAAAAGGTTTCCGTCTTAATCCATCAAAACGTGTCCCCTTCGCGTCTTGCAAATCGAACCGTGGATCGCTCATCTCTCTGCAAATTTATTCGCAACCGATTAGTCCATCGTGCCTGGCCCCGTCTCGCGTGAAACTTCACACCTTCACCGGCCGGAAACTTTAATGGAAAGATTACACTCGAACGTGGCAGTAAACTCGCTGCAGAAATTGGAAGCGAGTGCGTACCGATTGAACGGACGACCACTTATCCATCAACGATGCGACGATTGCACTGTACCGATGATTGCTGTTTACGTTCGTGATTCTCAAGTTATTCAGAGAATCTGGGATGGGAAATTATGAAAGAAAGTAGAGAAAATTTTTTAAGATGGTTCTCTGGAGTGGAGGAATTGAGTAGAAAATCATTTTAGGATATAAAATGTTATAGAGGTCTTTTATTTAATAGATATTAGGTCAGTACAAAAGCTCGTGCCCTATTTTTATTTTAGCATTATGTTACAAATTCCCTCACAATAAATATTGTCTAACTGCATTTCTCTGAAGTTTAAATGACGGAGAAATAAGCTTATCCGTTTCCGATGAATTTTCGATAGTATCGAGCTTTGGCCGAGACTGGCTAAAGTTCGACGTGCATTGAATAATAGAGTTAAACTGTATATTTCAGGGTCGTGCAATCAATCCTTGGGGATGGAGTCCGGAGACATACCGGATTCGGCCATTACGGCGTCATCATCGTATGTGACGAACGTCGGACCACGAAACGGCCGGTGAGCGCATTTACTTTTACTCGAGAACGCGGCGCGACGCGTTAAATGGTAGGTACCGCGGCTGCCTTTTTAACGTGTCTCCAGGAGAGGGAGACAGATCAAACCGAACCCGCGACAGACACGCTTTCCGCATTAACGGCCACTCTTCACTTTTTCTGTCCTCCTCTTCCCCCGCCGGATCGCGACTGTAATTTAACGTGCACCGTCGCGAGGAACTTTACTTTTAATCACGTTCAGCATGTTCGGTCGCCTGGAAAAATTAATAGAGGCCGCGTCTCTTCTCCTCGCGTTCGCGAAAAACTAAAGCTAGGTAAAACTAGTTAGCGGGGCATCGGCAGCGTCCGGGAAATATTATCCTCCTTCTTCGGTAATTATTGGAAAAACCTGGGATTACATGAGCTTTTCTGCTGAACGTAGAATTTTTCAATCGAGATTACAATTTAGTTCATATATTATAACTCATACACAAATCTCGTAATTTATTAATAGATTGCAGATTTTAAACATTTACAAAAAGATCGTATATGCGGAAATTAGAAACACGTGTTACGCCCGAAAATGTAGTATAAAATATTAAAACTGAATGCATATTGCGATGCTTCAATGATAAAAAATATTTACTTAAAATGCATCTTTTTTTAACTAGCGACTATAAATGTTTTATTTTTAGTAAAAATCTACGGTGTATTTCTTAGATAAAATTATAATTTCTTCGCTCGGGATCGATCAGATATATTCTGTAGATTCATAGAGATCATTGTGAAATTTGCATTAAAATTTCATTTCACGAGAGAATCCTCTGAACCGGGCCTTTACTACTTGCGGTTCAGGCATTCAGTAGTAGTAAACCGGCGTGGTCAGACAGTGGAAACGCCTTGTAAATGAGCGCTGTCTGGACGTCCGGAGTAGCCGGCGTCGCCATTCGTAAGGCTGCACCTAACGTTCCACCGTCGTAAATACTTTTTCAAAGACATCAACGAAAATTTTTTCATTAAAAAAGACAAAAGATGTAGCGTTAGTCACTAGGAAGTATCAAATATCTTGTAATTGAACAATTTTATCTAAAAATGCTTTAATTAGAATATCAGAACTTTCAGTGAGATATGAATGAAACATGGAAATGTAAATTAGCTGTATCGGTTTTGAAATTGGGCCAGAAACTCGGATAAATGTTTGAATAGGTGAATTAATCGGCGTCGTCGGAAAAACGCGACGGACCCTCTAATCAGGCGACGAGTTAACTTCGTTATTAGATAGGAAGCTCCGACGGGGTGGCCGATAGGTGGTGAAAGTTTCGCGAAGTTTCATTGGGTCGATTTAGAGCGAACGTGAGGCGCCTCGGGACGGGCGGGGGTATGAAACGTCAGGGGGTAAAATGAGAATGGACGGAAAAGAGAGACGTCGGAGAAAGAAGAACTGAATCCCGGATTCGCTGTTTAAGTACACTTCCCTCGAACCGAAGAAGTTCTTGAAACCGGCGAATGGCCCCGTGAATTGTTCTTCTTTGTTCGAACGATGCTGTAATGGCCGGAGGACTATAACTGCGCCTAGACGGCCGCTCTTCCGCGCTTCAAGAGCCGGTGAAACATTAACTTCGCGCCAAACCGCGTCGGCATCGTCGCACCGCGCCGTGTCCTATCGCAGTCTCCGCATATACAGTCTTCTCCGGGATTCTTGATTAATTTAACACTCTTCGGTGTTAGCCATTCATCCTCCTCTACTGATGCGTTCAATAGAGGAGGATGTCACGCGAGACGTTTCAAGAGTAGATTGACCGAATTTTCACCAGAACGTGTCTTCCTCTTCATGAATCATCTATTTATATAAATTAATAATTAAACTGCTTGATATAATTCTCCGTGTCATATTCTCGAAAAGGTTTCAGCATATTCATATGAAAACGAATTTAATATTATTTAACACCGTCGCCTGAAGCGAGGGCCTATTTAAAATTCATCAAAACGAGCTGTGTGGCTAACAAATTCTGTTGGGGACAGGCTGCGGAAGGAGACAGCGGGTGGTGCCTGGTGCCCGAAGAGCCAGATAGAAAGAGGAATCCGTGAGTGGCTGCAAGTGGATCTCCCTGGACCGCACGTGATCACCGGCGTACAGAGTCAGGGTCGTTACGATCATGGCCGTGGCCAGGAATACGTCGAGGAGTACACCCTCGAGTATCGACGTCCCGGGTTCACCGAGTGGCACCGATATAAGCGCTGGGATAACAAGGAGGTACGTGTGCTTCCGTGTACTGTACATCCTGTTGACAGTCGAGAAGAACTAAGTTAAATCCGACCGAACTGAATAACGTGGTCGCAATCAGTCTGCGCTACCCGCACTGTATTTTTCTCTTCCTGGTAAACTCGATCGGGTCGCCTCGAAATCATCGACGATCATTTTAAAGTAGATAATACTGTTAATATTTCATTCAAATATATTAATTTAGTGAAATGTAAATTTATTAGATTACAATTGTTACGATTTATGATTTGATTCGAGCATTGAAAATGACATGAATTTTCGTAGAAACGTTCCATTTGAACATCAGTTATCGGGAATAGAGAAAACGGGCAGGGATCTCGATTTATTTCTTAAAGGAAAAAAGCTTCAGATTGAAGGAACGGTTTGGTTTCCTTATTGTGATTCCGCTGGTGTTGGCGATTCAAACGTGATTCAAGTCACGGTAGCTCGCGAGGTTCGCGCGTTCTTCCAACTCTCACTGTTCTGAAAGATTGGAAACGAGGAAACTTAGATACGGTCATCGATAAGTACGTGTACTATTTAAGACGAGACGAGAACTTGGATTTGTCTTGAATGTATTTTTTCATCGGTTTCACGATAGAATAAAAAATAAATCACATTTCTTACATAAAGAAATATCAATGGCCTCGAAGAAATCGAAAAAACAGAAGAATTTTCGTTAAAAGACGTTCTTCAATCGAAATCATTTAAATCATGCTATGAAATTTTTTCATAACATAAAAAACATTTACGTGGCCTCGTTCAGCTGAGACACCCAATACTACTGCTAAATTTTTAATTGTGCACATGAACTTTTTTCTCATTCCTTATGGTAACTTGTGTACGCAAACACTGACGTGGCGGTATATTGGAATGATAATTTATGACCGGTCCATGGGAGGTGAATTACCTTGGAACCGACGCTGTGATGATCTATGTCTAAACGACGTACAGCGAGTCTCCAGCTCAGTTGAGATTTCCCGAGTAAATTGATTAATATTGACGCACATTCGACTGTGCACGCGTCCGAGGCTCGTGAATCACGTTCGCGTGAACGTTTACCAACGTTAAATGCAATATACACGTCACTATACCATTATCAATAGACTTTTGATAATATCAATTTAATAAATGCAATTTGCATAGAGATTTCTATTATCATGTAAAAATTATAGCTTAATATTTTGTATATTTTTATGCATTACATGCTTACATTATTTTTATTCATTCAATCTTTCTATAAATGCATAAAATGCTAATTATCAGTTAGAAAATGTCGGGAACTAAATTAATCGTATGGCGTACGCGGAAACTATAACGTCGGAGGCCACGCATTAATCGGGCGTTGTAATTAAATCAGTTAAATTATCGCAATTAAGCCGATAATTATATGGGTAACGGTAATGTATCGTTGAGAACGTTGTTCCGCTAACAAATTTACTTAGGAACAACCGTTGATTAAATACATTTTAACGCAAGAATCAGTCCCGGTAATTTATTCGAGGGAAATCGTTCGAACCTAATAATGGATAGCCTTTAAATTGATCCCGCCGCGGGTTCATTAATTAACGCGTTGCCAAACCACTTGAACGTCGGTTAAACAGCGTCATCCCGACGCGGCCCGTGGAAAAATTGAGTTCGCGAACCGTTCGTTTCGTTTGCCATTTGTTTTAGGTGCTGGCCGGGAATACGGACACTTCGACGGTGGTGACCCATCGTTTGGTACCGCCGATCTTCGCCGATCAAATCCGCATTCTACCACACTCCGAGCACAGGCGAACTGTTTGCCTCCGCATCGAGCTCAGGGGCTGTCAGTTCACGGGTGAGTGACGTTAATGAATTCAGCGATCGAGACTTGCCGCGCAACAACAACAATCGCAAACTTCCGACGGAAACTGTTGCGGGTCTATAGTCGCGTTTGGATAAACTCCGGATTAGTCCCTGATACTTCTTCGCTCGTGGCATTGTTTCAACAGACGCGGAGTTCATTAGTTCCCAGTTACTAAAACGTCGACACTTGTCTATACGTTTTCACCTCCATGATAGAAGTTTATTGCCACGGCATAGATATTTTGTATAAACCAGAAGATCCATTAGTATGTGCAAATATTAAATTATAAAAAATGTTCAAAGTACGAATCTTTAGATCTGCGCCAATCGCAGAGCTTGAAATATTTTCCTGGTACTCGAAGTTTGTTGTCAGAAAATAAATATGTTATGTAAATTAGAAAAACCATTTCCCGGCTAAAATTTGAAACACAAATCGTGAGGCTCTGAAATATTTTCCATGGTAATAGAAGTTTGTTGCCACAGCGTAGATATTTTTTTATAGCCAAATTACAAATTGCAATGTCAAACGTCCGAGTTGAATTCCAAATATGCAAACGTGCGGAGTACAAATCTTTACATCAGCGAATCACAAATCCCGCTGAAATCGCAAGGGTTGAAATATTAAAATCCGAGGGCCGGTAACAGATCGGAAAAATTCCGCAGCCGAATCGCGAGACTCGCTTGAACATAAACATCAAAGATTCAGATCTCGACCTAGTTCCACGAGGATAGAGATGAACGGAGAAGAAACCGTGCCCGGTGCAAATTTGCAATTCCAGGGTAGCGTACGATGGAAATGTGAGCGGCCGGCCGCGTCGGACAGCCGGCCGATTAATTTCCAAATTGCAATTTCATTCAATTTGGCGAGCCTGAGACGACGACAGCGAGGCTAGGTCGGAATCCGAGTTCGAGTCCGACTGGATGCTATTAACGTTCGTAACTGCGTTACACGAGCGAGCTCATCGGGATGCGGCCGCCCTAGTCCTCCCCCGCGTGCATACAATCCCCCGTAGCATTCATGTTTTCGACCCACTTCTGCTACTTAAACGCGTCTAAATCCAATCGACACGAGCCGTAACATTGTTCCGTGAAACGATCTGCAATTTCTCGGTTGTCCTATACGCACACGCGTGTCCTGTGAAACTTTCAGGCATCCGTTCTATAATGACGAACGAGCAACGTTTCAATCAACGCGACGTGCCTCACGAATGTATATCGAGATGAGCATCTCCTGCTGGACATAAATATTAAGACATTACCATAATTGATATAGTAATTAATATAATAATTGACACAATGGTTCATATAATAGTTAATACAATATTTAATATAATTGTTACAATCTCTTATATATTGATGAATATTGGATAGAATTCATCCATACATTAATTAGTACATTTTCTATAATGAAAGATACAATAATTTGTGTACGAATGGCGATATCATTTTTTGCCATAATTAATTTAACATTGATACAATGTTTCATGTAACAGTTTTATGTTCTTGCCACGCAGAAGAAAAACAGCGTAGTTCGAATCAAGTTCGATTCGCTGGGACAGAAACACAGGAATAAACGGGACTCGCAATATTTCCGGGATGGAAGCCGACCCCGAAATGGGACAGGCGTTTATTTCCTCGTATACGAGAATACTTTCCATGGGAAAATTGAATGAAAGATGTATTATCCGTTTCTCCCGTCACCGAACATCGTTTCTTTTACTATCGCCGGAAATGAAAGATGAATTGGTAATGTGAAAAGGATGTCACGGTGAAAGGAGAATATAAAATAACTGGAAAAAGCGCGACGGTTTATAAGTTAAAAGAGACAGTTGAAAATTTAATGAAAAGATTTAACAGTCCGTGAAAAATGTTTGCATTTTTCACCGTTCGACGAGATTGATTTTCATAATTCAACGAACTGTATTCTATTGGTTTCCCATTAGAAATCGAATCCTATCGGTTCCCAATCAAAACGAACGTGCGAGAGTTATGAGATAGTGGAATCAACGAGTTTTAAATTTAATATACTCTGTACGAGAGATATTAGGAAATTAAAAATTAATATTGTCAGTGTAACTGCGATGGACACGTGTAATCTATGCGCAGAGTGACCTAGAAGGGAAACTAATTTTGAAACCATTTGTAGAAAAGACTCTTGAACGACAAATCAATTGACCCATATTTTCTATAGACCGCGTATTAATATTTATGGCCGAGGCATTTATCTAGATTAAATGTACACGTAATGTTCCAAGGGTGCTGCATTTAATAAGCGAGTAATAAAAGAATAACGACGAGAGGTTGGAAAAAGGAGAGTACGAATACTAATTAAACCAAGCAGTAGTCGGGATGCTATTGGAATGCAAGAAGGATGGAAGTAGAAACGGCAAATACCGGTATCCTTAAAATAAACATTCTATCTCTTTTGAATAAACCACGGGTATCGTAACTCTCATCTCTATTTGTGTATAAAACGAGGTTTCAGTTTTTAATTTATCAGAGGATAATCTGCCGTATAACTTTTCATTTCGTACAATTTTATCACGGAACACGGCGCGTGACAGGTTCCTTTTACGGTGACATTCGTACACCGTATCTCATAACTCTGAAACCGATGGGAAATCTTCAATCTTCGCATGTCGCAAAATTTACGTTTTTTATCAGATTCACAGTACGAACGGTAGATTGTGAAACTTACGTTTTATATTGAAATAAAAGTATAAACTAAGCCGAGCATTCTTTAACGTTGCGCCAAATGACCTTTTATTATCTCCTAGTTTCATGTGTATTTTTACTTACGTTTGCTTTTGATACAGTAATTTAATTTAATTCAGACCGCGCGCTGTTAACAGAAGAAACTTTTCGCCGGCATTGTTCGCTGTTTTTGTTACAATATCTGACGATTCCGTTTGCGCACAATGGGAAATTCCGACCGAGAACTTTTTACGCGGACCCGGGCAACGGAACTGAAAAGCGTCGGAACACTCGTCACATAAAGTTCCAGTTTAAAACTCGCCGCTGCCAGAAGAAAACTTAAACAACGGCCTATCGAACTTTGGCAAGCTTAATCTACGGGATACCGTAATTTCGTTATGAATTGCCTCGCGTGAGGTGCGATACAATCATGCAAATCCGGTACGTCGTTTATTACATCGCAAATAATTCTGCATCGTGGCACGTATCTGAAACGCGAACTTCTCCTAATTAATACGTGAACGTAATGCAAAATATTCGCGTGAAAACGTTGCGCAACCCGCGACCGCTCGTATCCGTATTATTCAGAAGGAATTCAACTTCTCTGCCCGCACGAGTTCCATCGATTCCAGCAGGAATTCCGAAATCACTGGACAAGGCATACAATCAAACACAATATTATATCCCTGTTCAGGTTTTAAAAGACTGAATGAATAAATGAAAATTCCTGATATTTGATAATTTAATATTTGATATTTGATGTTTGTCAGATTTTTTATAGATAATAAGCAAGTGGAGATGTCTTAAAGCTGGTGAACAAAAATGTTTGCTATGCTGTATTTTGCTGCGACCCGGTGCACAGTAACACTGCGGTATATCAATATCAGTGTAATAGCCGTGATTTGCATAAATGATTTTTCTGGGTCGCTAATGTCGAAGAAATGGCGAGGCGCCGGCGCAACGGGCCGCGCGCGTAAGAACTGGTCGAGGGAAAACATTGAAAAGCCAGGTACTGTGGAACCGGGCGACGTGAGAGGTCTCGCACTATAAGAAGCATTCGGAGCGTGTGATATCGAGCTCTCGTGGGCGGGATCGTCGGATTTATGGGCCCCGTGCACGAAACAACGTTACGCGGCCTACGTGGCGAACTGTTGCCCCCGAAACTGCGAATAAAAGCTTCGGTTTGAGAACCAATTAAACACCTCCCTTGTTAACGTTCTCGAATTCGCTTTTAATTCAGTAGAACAGGTTCGAGGTAGCGTAATTGAACGGTATCAAAAATTGCCTTTGTTCAGAGACAATGAAGCATGACGTTCGAAACTTCTTCTAATTGGGCTAAAAATAATCATTTTGTTGAAAACACGAATTGGGTTAAAAAAGCATGACTCTTCTCTACCAGGCAATTATAAGTTAAAAAGCACGAACAATAAATACCTCAAGTAATGTTATTATTTTATTCCACAATTTATAGTCTGATTGGACAGAAAAAGATATTATTTAAATCCAATTAATATTGGGTCAGAATATAATTCCGATCCTGAAAAAGGAAAGAATCTTTTCTGCCGGGGAACTGAAAATTAAAAAGTGCAAACAATTGACATCTCAGGGTTAAAAGTGGCTTTTGAAAACGAGCTGGAAGTCGGGCTGGCAGCAGCGCAGGGTTGTTGGTGGGGCGGATTGATTCCGAAACTTGTTACGAGTGCACTCTTCGCCTTTGAAGGCAACTTCCCTGGAAATTGCTCTAACGACACTCGATGAAAGTTCGTAATAATTTGTGTGGCTCGGCGGTCGGGGTTGGAATTCCTGGCGCAGATTAGATTAGCGGATTGCCGGATTACACGGCGGAGTCGCGGTAACGGCGGTGTGTACACGGGCCTCGTGTTAACACGGGATATACACTTTTAATGCGTATGTTGCCGGAAGTTGATTCTCTTTAATCTATTTCGACTTTAATAAGAACGCAAACTGCGTAACTGTAATTATAAATTCCGCCGCTATTGACTTATCATTTAAAAAATCACTCGAATATTACTTTATCCTTTTAAGCTATGAAAAGATCAAATACTGTTAGAAGTGTAAGTAAAATTTAACAAAAGTTATGACTTACTTTATAGATGCATGAGAGAGAGAGAGAGAGAGAGAGAGAGAGCGCATGTTATTTTTCTGTTTGCATTTTGATATTATTATGATTTTGCTAAGTTTGTGAGGAGATAAAATGAAAGACATAAAAAGAAGGGGAGAGGTGTGAAAGAGGAAAGGTATGAAGGAATGAGAGTGTAAGTAAAAATGTAAACCAAGCCCATCTCTGGGCCAATAGGCTGAAAAAAGTATTATGTATATTAGTTTGTCCTTTGCAATTTGAAATAGATAGAACAATACACTAAAATAGTCCAATTTCTTCAATGATTTCTGCTCCATTTTATTCGGCGCAATTTGGTCTAATTTTATCTATGGTTTAATATGCAATGAATTTTTCGTAGGTTTCTAAAGTTCTCCTAAAGTTAAATATAGAATCCTGAAAACAAAATGGGACCGTTGAAATCAGAGCAGGCATTTGATTTGAAACATCAGAAAGCTCTATATTACCTATAATTATATTTACCCGTAAAAATGACTTTTCCTCTTTTGTCACCAACTGAACTTAGAAAATCTTGAATTCCTTTCTTTTAAATAATCAGCGATATTTAGGTATTTTTAGCTTTTATCAAACTAGATTTCCCTCAGGGAACATTAAAATTAGTTGCCAAATGGCTATAGAGAGAGAGAGAGAGAGAGAGAGAGAAACTCTCGAATATCTCCTAACTTAATCCCATCTCCCAATATTCCTCTTAAATGATTAACAATTGGATTCAGCCAATTATTTCCTGGTTTCAAATTAAACGCGTTCCTTTCGCCCAAGATTCGACATTTTCTCTGGGTGCAACGGACGATAGAGAGTTGTCCGAAACTCACTCGACCGCATCGCGTGACACGGTTCACCGGCCACGGACGTATGCACCGTGAAATATCGAGAGTAGTTAGGCGATTCCGGGCACACGACACGACACGACACACGAAGTGGCCGCCGTTTTTGTCGTTCATTATTAATTCTCTCGCCGCGAACGCCCCTACCCCCTCGGGCACGCACACGACGGCGCAGTGATTAGATCCGTGATCCGACGAGATTACCCGTTGCTTTGCTCGATCGCGAAACTTCCTCGTTATCAGATGATAAACCGACTTAATCATGTTTACTCTTTAATCAATCTCTAACTTCTGTCCATTATTCTTCAACACGTTCCACGCTGATAACTATGTTATATTACAAAACATTCTAAATATTCTCCTTCTCCACGAAAAATAATTTATTTGAAAATTCGTTTAAACAACTTCTTTTATTTATCTCGATTTCCCCAGTTATTTTCAGTTCAGTTGAACTGAAAAAATTGATCAATCGAAATGCCTTTAAACTCTTTCCGGTTGGACTGAACTCGTTGAACAAATACACAAGCACCGAACTTTCCCTCGCAAAGTAAACCGTCTGTTTGAGGAAACAATGCTGTCAACGTAGCGATTCTTTCCCTACCCGTGTTTCATCTACACGCGCCCTCCAACTTGCTGTCGGCGCGGTGTGCCAGTAAAGTTGCGTCGAGTTTGTTTTAAAAGAACGAGGACATCGTCACGAGGCAGTTGTCACCCGGTGGAAACTTGGCCGGCTTGTTTCAGGCGGCGTGGTTAGCTACACGATACCGGAATCCCCGACGGTGGAGCTCAGCGACGTCTCGTACGACGGCAAAAGGCAGGACAACTTGTTGACCGATGGCCTAGGACGGCTGATCGATGGCGAGGTCGGCGCGGATAATTACAGGCTGGACATGGGAGATGGAAGAGGTAATCGGTGGGTGGATACACGCCGGGGTGCTAAGTGCCGAAACCGACGACGGGGTCCCACAAGAACAGTATTGTCAAAAATCAACACCTCGTATAATACAGGAGTTGCAGACCAGCTCCGGCTTGTGTTAATTTCCCATAGGCGGACAAGATTAAAGATCAGTAATAAATTTATGTCTTTTTTTCAATGCTCAATCTGGCGTTGATGCTGCTAGATTTTTATATCATTTCGAAATGAAAACAATTTTAAATTGCATACGATACGTAATTGTAATTGATAATTAGAGCTACAAGTTTTGTATAAAATTATGTATTGATGTAGTCTTTAATGGTTCATGATGTTGAATATTTGTTAGATTTGTTTATCGACAATATGCAAAACAGAGGTATAATCACAGTCCATTAATCACTCTCATGTTCTTAACATGTCCAAACTATGCAGACGTGTCGCCGATCGGTACTTAGCACCCGTAAACAGAGGAGACAGTAGTTGGCGCGAGGTCGGAACTTCGCGAAACAGGAGAATGAGAACAGAGGAACGATGCAAGGGTTGGACGGGTAGTTCTTGCGCCTGGAAGTTACGTCGAACGGAATCAATTCAATTAACGAGAGAAACAATAGATCAATCGCTGCTAAGGCTTTAACTTCGATTCACGCTAACGAAGTTGTCTACCGGCGCGCCAGGAATGGGTTCGTGGTAAATCAATTCCACGCGCAATGGATACGTTTTTACGTTTCACAGGCACCGGTTGGGTCGCGTGGATGCGCGACACTTTCGAGGACGATTACGTGGAGCTCGTGTTCGAGTTCGAGGTAACCTGGATCTTTGAGGCGGTCCACATCTACACCAATAATTATTTCTCCCGCGACGTCCAGGTAAGTAATCTTTTATTGCGTTCCGCTCCTCTTCCTTCCTACCTTATAAACCGCTAAAGAAGATAAAACTTTTAACGACCGCCGCTCATCGTTAGATGACAGGATATTTTCCGCAAGACCAGACTAAAAATATCGAACTTCATCTCATTTCACCGGAAACTTTAATCGTATCAAATTTTTATATCCCTAATTATGGGAAATTAAGATTTAATAGTCACTTGGTTTCATTTAGAGTTATCGTTCGAAATCATTCAAACTACCAAAATATTATAGAATTGTTGGAATTGCAGTGTGGAAACTGTTTTCAGTAACTGAATCATGTCTTAAGAATTATATAAATGTTATTAAATATAAAAATATTAATTGTTATTGATTATAAAAATTAAATAAATATAGAATAATTTATTTCCACTGTGATGAACCAAAAAGTAAAAGATTCTTATTGTCATGTCATGAAGCATTGAAATTAGAAACTGTTTTCAGTAACTAAATCTTGTTTTAAGAATCATACAAATCGTACAGTTATTTCCATTATGATGAACCAAAAAATAAAAGATTCTTATTGTACATATGAGTTTGTACATCGAGCGTTTCTCGTGAGCGGATTGAAATCCGAACGCGGCCCAATACGGGCACGGTGAAATGTCAATGCGATTCAATGAATGGATCGCCTGTATCTCCTTTCATCTGGATGAAAGGCCGCGCCATTAAAAGTGAATCAGGTTTAAGTACCGGTTATTGCTTACGCGAGCAGTCCATGTCGCCTATTACGGCCAGTGTTTCTTTCTTTTTGGTTGCTGAAGCAACTTGAAGAAGTACTAATAAACAATTCCATGTAGAAATAAAGTTAAACCTTGTAAAAAATGATATTTCATCAAAATTTGAATTGAAACTATAATAGAGATGAAGAGGAGTACTACGCGTTTGAATTTGGAGCGGATTTAATTGCATTCATCGAATTACGGAGTGTATTGCGTTCCGTGCAATTTCTAGTTCTGTTAAGTGAAACACGTTGATTTTCATAAATAATTACTGTGAGTGTATCATGGAGATTAACTCTTAATATAGCAGAAATTATGGCATTGCAAGTAGCATCACTAATGGAAATTCATTGAAACATAAAGTCTGATCCTTTCTAAAGCGTTAATAATTGTTTTACAATTTGTGCTAAAATCATAAATTCTGAACGGCGAACAATCATTCTTAAACGCAATCTAGTCCCAGTTTCGATCATGCCTCAGGTGTTTTCCAAAGCAGACGTCTGGTTCAGCGTCGATGGTATCACTTATGAGGAGGAGCCTCTATCCTACTCCTACATACCGGATATCGTGTTGGAGAACGCGAGGAACGTGTCCATAGGCCTGCACGAACGCCAAGGCCGGTTTCTCAAGATACATTTGTATTTCGCTGCCCGATGGATCATAATCAGCGAGGTGACATTCGAAGGAAGTAAGTCTGTCATAACTTCCCTTTTTCGTTTCTAACATAATTACTAAATTACTTTAATACATTTAGTATTATTATTTCAATTACTAAACCCGAAAATATACCATCTACTTGATTATCTTGATCCCTTCATTATCTCGGCTTAATTTTTATTAAACCAGTAATGAGTGAAGTTATAACATCGGTTAGATTATTATCTTCCAAATCAGGCAACCCCCGAAACGTACTTCGAATGCTTTTTAACCCTCGTCACGTCTTTGTCCGCCATTTCTTTCCGATTTCATCGTCGTCCTAATGACCGTTTGAATTAACGGCCACGATCGTTGAACCGACGTTCCTGCGAATATCCCCGCAGGGAGCTGCTCGGAGTCGTCAAAAAGGAATCGCGCAACGGAAATGAGATCGGACAGGGATCACGGTTAACATGTTTGATAAAACTGCTTGCTAATTATCAGCCGCAGCCACGCGCATTTTAAACCGAAACCTGAAGAGCTACTATGTCATACTTAAAAACAAGTTTTTTAAGATTCATTAAGAAATGTCATTCAATATTTTTTACTTGTTGATTTTTGTTTTAACAAATATTGAATAAAATGAATTTTCATTTGCCAGTGTACAGGTTTTTATCAAACAACAAATTCATATAAAATTTCTTTTATTAAAATTAATTTATATATCGCGAATGATAATTATTATTTATTTTAATTATATTTTATACTTAGACTTTCTTATTAGTATTATAAGTGACGCGTGAGAATGGTTGTAAACAAATGATTTCGAGGATGGGAAGAGGTTTCGTTGCGGATTAGCAAGACTCGCAACGATTTAATTAGCATGACACTTGTTCTAGCGAATCCCTATGAAAATACCACCGAGGAGTCGGCGTCCGAGTTCAGTAACCGGGAGATTCCAATGAACCCCGAGGTGGATCTTAACTTGCAAACAAGTAAGTGACTCGACGGGGACGCGACGGCATTTAATTCCTATCAATCTCGAGTTAATTACACCCGGAGCATTCGAAAACTTTTCCTTATCTATTTTATCTCAAGTAATGCCTCCTACGGGACGCTCTACCGTCGAATACGGATTGGATTCATCGCGAAAGTAATTTGTTGTAAAAGAAAAAAGATCTGCAATTGAATATATGTTTGCATTTAAAGATCATCTTACTTAAAATTAGAAAATTATGTTCGATTTAACAAATGGGATTCTCCACTGTTTTTCGGAGTGAAAATTCAATAACTGAATCATGCGTTAGAAATTCGTGCCAGTTCTTAAATCGACATGAGGCGAATCAATTGCTCAATTTGTTCGTCTGATTATACTGCGAAATAAGCTCGACCGATTGAATCCCGTCTTTCACTTTGAGTAGGATAAGGTTTGTCCGACGAGTTAACTTCATTAACGAAACCAGGCCGATATTCTTTGCCGAACGGGGGGATACGATTAGAGTCGCGAAGAACCGGTCCCGAGCCGAGGAAACTTGGATAGTTTATAATTCACGTAGCAACTTCGCCGTAACGTAAACAATTAGTCGGATTAAGAGGGTGCTCTTTCGAGAGCGAGACGGGTCCGGGAAAGCGAGACAGCCCTCCGTCCTATTGCTTCAAAGAATCGGGTTCATCGGGTAAAAAGTGAACGTGAGTTAAAAGTGGCGAACGAAAAATAAATTGCGAGATAAAAAATGACGCGCAGCCGGACATTTTTCAATGTTCCCAAGTTTCTCCACAGAGCACAAAGTAAAAAGTTATATCCCATGCTGCAAGCTTTTTATTGTACGGTGATTTTTAAGTACAATGGTTTTAACACCTGGCTTGAACTGGCGCTGACCTTTAATGTCAGAAGTCCGAGCAACAATAAGAATATTTAACAAACGTATGACAGAAATAAAATATAAAAATGAGAGAATAATTAATATTTTTACTTGGCATACTCGTAAGTTATATTAGTTTAATAATTACCATTGAAGATGCAACGAATTTTGACGACGAAGAAATATAGGCTAATAACGTAAGTGAATAAAACCCTCTCGAGTACGAAAATAGTCTTTAAATGGGCATGGAGTTTAACTTCATTATCCAGACGCCTCTCTGTAAACGTTTTTCGTGCATCCTTTCGAATAATCTAGTAGCGGATAACGCTCTTTCTGGGAAGTTTGCCCTCCCAATAAAAGAAGAAAGGGAACGATAAAAAACGGAGGTGCTTAATGGCTGGATAAAGAGCGGGATTAACAAGAAAACCAAAGGGAGCACCGCGGTGGCTGTAGCGTGGCGCGTCGATGTAAAATAAGCAGTTAATCGGACGGAGGTTGGAAAATTAGAAAAGAAAATTGACCGCGGGAGGGGTCGTTGGATAAAGACAGACGTGGCTTAATTAGACGACAATCTACTAAGGTGTAATTGCGTATTCGAGCGGCGTGGTGTTGCTGGCCACTCCATAAATCTTCTCCGCCCTCGTTGCGTTTACTTGAAGCCATCAGGGCTTAAGCCATCATGGATAATACAAAAATCCTCCCATTTCACCGATCGTATTTCCATCAACGTCTTTTTATATTATTTTCCCGTTGGTATGGATCAACGCGGTTTCATAAAAATGTCGCTGCTCCAAATACATAAAACGTAAAAAACTGGGAAAAGGGAGAGGGCGGGTGTACTGTTCAGTGATTAAGGAAAGAATAAAAGTTTGTACTTATCGACATCCTCGCGTTAATATGAGTGTTGAAAAGATGATAATGAAGGGTTGAAAAATATGTAAGGAGTGAAAAGCAGACCGCGAGCAAACAGAGAATAATGGAACAAAAGAAAAGAGAAGAAAAGGGAGTACAAGCAACGGGATGAGAGATGGAAAACGAAAGGAATTAAAAGCCCGCCGGCGTGTCCATTTTCTTTTTTCGAATCCATAGAAAGGAGCGCGTGATTTAGAGGGTAGATTTTCCGGTTCGAATCGCCGCGACGGGCCTCCCCGGTCCATAGTCCGCGGGGACCTCGCGAATTAAAGTCGAAATTGCAAGGACACCTTGCTCCCTACTCGTTTTACTCTTCCGCTCGAGCAGCCTCGTCTCTGATCGAAGAAAATCAGTCTGTTCCCATTAAGGCAACGCTTTCATTGCTGTTATACAACAGGAAATCTTTTGATACAAGTCAATTACTTTGTTTCATTAATGAATAAAGAAATGGAACTTCTTGTCGTCTGATATAATTTTGACCGGAGCGTGTACTTCTCAAGTTTGATGTGTACATCTGGAAGATAAGATCGCGGGTTAGAATTGAAAAATCGATCCGCTCGAAGCCGAATATGTCCAGCGTCTTCGAGTCACTAGGCCGAGTCGAGATCATGATCGCCACGCGAGGCCGGTCTCTGGCTTATTTATTTCTCTCGTAAAACAGGCGTCGTGACGCCGCTTCCGTTCTAGCCGTGATAAAGTCGGGCGCCGGTCGACATGAAAAATTGGAAGAATGTAACGGCACATTGTTAAGTCGGTTTATCAAGCCGACCGGGGGCCCCGCGTTTCGTCTTTTTCCGAGCGTATCCACTTCCCTCGCGTTCTTCGTCTTCGTCCCGGCCCACCTCCCGACTGTATAAAGTTTCTCTTGGTAAAGCGGCGATTAGCCTTTTCCTTCGCGTCGCGATAAAACGTTACGGTTTTTTAAGTGACAGGAAGGGTAAGGAAGGGCATTCCAAGGGCTGTGCACCTTTTACGAGCTATAAAACGGTTTCCGTCGGGAAGAGATCACGAAAGAATCGGTTTTAGTTCATTTACTTCGCCAACGAAAATTTCACTGCCTCGTATTCGATTAAATCTCTCGGAATTTCGAATGCTCTGGATATTATAATTCAGTGGTAATTAAACAGCTCGAGTTAATTAAATGCTGCATATTAAATTGAAATTTTTTTTAATATTAAATATCTGGCATACAGAATGGTCAGATGTTGAGTCTCGCTGTTCAGTATGAATTGATTTATTTAGTTATTTATGCGGAATGGAAATAAGGAGTACTGTGTAGGTTCTCCATTAAAATGAACCGTTTGGCATAGTTACAGCAGCGGGAGAGGGTCAGGAATATTTAGAGGTACTAATAGGTGTTCTGACTGCCATTATCCTACTTCTTCTGTTGGTCTGCGTCATTATTCTACTTCTGAATCGACGGCAAAAACTTCAGAGCTCGCCGACCGTGCTGAAAAATCCATTTGGATTCGCCATAAACATGAAGGTAAGAGCCGGAGCTCATAAATATGCTGAAACTTTTCCAGCCCGATAAGACGGATCTTAATTCGTCATTAAAAGTCCGCGAACTTCCTTTCCCAAAATGACACGAATCTCTTTCAACACGTCTCATTCTTTAACATAAATGCCATGCATTAACGTGTATCTGTCAATTCGAAAAATTAGAAATACTGTAAAACTTTATTCATTTATATGTGCATGATAATATTTACATTATAATAATAAATGCGAATAATTATTGAAAGTGAACTATATCTTAAATGGTCTTGCACTATTTTTTATCCGATCCGATTTTATTCAATCGGAAAATAACCGATAGCTTGTGAGAGCTGACCTGGTATTTATGAGACCCACTTGCGACTTTTTTGTGAGACAAACGATTGGAACAATTTCCAGGGACTCCTCTTAAATTTAACCCCCGGTGGAATGCTGACAGAGACTGCCAATCACGTGTCACCGGACATGCCGGAGGACGGAAGTATGCACGAGTCTTTGACAATGGAACAATTCAATTCACCCCTTGTCAGCCCGCAGTATAAATCTACCTACGCGATAGTGGCCACTTCTGGTGAGTTTTTTCAAGTATTTCAAACGTGAAATCCTTTGCCTCGTTCGAAGAGATCATGATTCCGATTCTCTACACCTGTCTTTGATATAATTAAAATCGATCGTGAACGACCATCTTCGAAGAGCCGGAGGAAAATACAAAACTGAAAACAAATAATATCTTTAGGAAAAGTTCATTCAATAAAAATTGGCCGTCGGCTTAATGCGAATGGTGGATTGTTTTCATTTCAAACGGCTAAAACTCTGTTCAGGTTCAATTAATAATTTTCTGACTTCGCTCGACGCGGTTACTTTTATATCATTTCTAAATACAATCTTTATACAGCGTAATTAAGATTTTATATAAAAATCGCATAAAATCGAGGATGAGCGAAGTTCATTGATTTTTGTATTTCGACAGAGGAGCGACGCGAGAAAAAATAAAGATTGATTTGTTTCAAGAATCGCCGAAAGACTTGAAAGAGTTGAACCTTCCGGAGGAAACCGTCCGGCTGGACACGAGACCGGAATCGACCGTAGGCCCGGCTAGTTGCTCATCATCGCCGACCAACTCCCCCGCACGGCATTCCCAACACTACAGGACTCTCCAAAGTTACTCGAGTCCAACTACGAAACTCAATATCGCTGTCTCGTCTAATCATCAGAGAGACGTCGATCAGATCCACTCGAAACGCTGGCACACAGCGCCGAAAGAGAAACACAAGGTCCGCTCGAATGTCCATTAGCCGCCCTAATATTAATTGATTAATATTCTATTCCATCAATTGTAGATAGAAAACAAATTAGACAATAAGTCAAAACAATCAGCTGTCTGAAAAATTTAAATTTGATAAAAATTCATCCGAAATCATTTTCTATTTTGTTATTCCTTTAAAACCAGTTCGTTAATTTTAAACTCTCCCCGATGGTATAATAAATTAGCGAGTGTGTGTTTAAAAATATTGCGGCAACAATTTGCAACTCTTGGGCCCACAGATACCCGCACCTGTCGTTAGCTGGAACATCGCACCCAGTATGAACAAGCCGTACAAATGCAGGGAGATAGAGCCCAGCAATATACCGCGACAGTGCCTACGTACCACGGAGAAACTTGGCTCGAGGAACATCGGCGAGGTACATACAAACATACATGCATGGGACAATAACCGATTGGGAAACGATACGGTTCGTTACGTGCACGTGCACACGCGTGTGGCTCGTACGTATCTCGGGCACGCGCGTGACTAATTCCGAGAGCCCGGATCGTGATGAAACACGATTCTCGTTTTCCCGGCTTTCGTTAACCTTTAACACGGCTCGTTACCACTGTTCAATCAGTTACTTGATATTAACGTTAAACAGTTTCTAATTACTAGCTTGCAGATTATAATGCAAAATAAAACATTTGTTCTTTTCGATTTAAAGAATGAATATTCCTGTACATTTTCCCACATTACTAATGTTACTACTTAAGGATGTATAGGCTATATGTATACTGCTAACATGTTTAATTTGTTATTAGAGATTCCTATTACTATTAAAAAGCTAAAATTATAGTGATTTCAAATTTTTCATAGGTAATAGTATCACCTACAACTTTTACTTGAAGCATTTNGAAATACGTTTTTTTTAAACTATATAAACTTTTGGGATTGACTGTATAGCCAATACATCCTTAAATCTATCTATTAATTACTCCAACTAAGAATTCATTCGATTACTTCATTTGGCATAATTGAGAGAGAAACAACTGTCTTTACATTTTGCCTAATCTTAAGATCACGCTAGCAATAAATTAGACAATTATCGGTGGTAACAAACCTATTATTACACGTTTCTCTGAAACTACTGGGGAAACTTTGAGGCGACGAACCACAATACAGAATAATGCACTTACTGTGTACACATTATGCGCGTACAAGGTAGATCTCGCTATCGATGTACTTCCGGAATTCTTAGATGATTAACAGACAAACTGTGTACAGCGACTTACCGAGTTGGCACTTTGAAACAATTAAATAAGACTTTCCGTGCAGTTAATTGAAGACGTTACGGGAAACGACTTCGTAATAGATAAAAAATTGATTTATCTTTGTTCAAGAGTAATTTCCTCATACTTATATGTCAGCTGATAGATATTTCGCAATAGTTTAAATATAAAATTGAGATCGATTTCCGAGGGCCCTACGGGGAAAACAATTTTCATAACTTTCCCCGGGAATAATCTCGTTTATGGGTTTCGCAGGCGATAGTATGCGAGACGGTCGGATTGGAGGACGTGATAGCGGATGCCCCGAGATTGGTGGTGGCTCGCGTGCCCGCTTGCAGCGGTGACATACGTGCCGGTAGTAACGCGGACCAAATGCGAGAGGTCCGATTCTTGTCCGGCCTCTGCGATCCGAACGTCGCTCGGATCCTTGGCGTGTGCACCGTGGAGCCGGTCCCGTGGACGATCATCGAGTACACGGAACTCGGCGATCTCGCCCATTATCTTCAGTACAGTGTGCCACTTACGGGAACGCTTAGGCCGAGCTGCAATTTGAAGGCCCTTAGGTGAGACGCCGCTATCCCCGATCTTGAAACGCCCTATCTCCCCGGTCCCCTCTCTGCCCGACGCACCGGATAATCCAACCAGCGTTGCGAAATGAAATCGCGATGCGATCATTGTAATGATCCCGCGGATAATCGCATGCCCACTTGTCGCCGCCGTCTCTACTTTATTCGGTACAATCCCGGTTCGCTCATTACCCATCCTTAATGTTGCTTCCGCGTTGCACAATTCATAGATGGAGAATCTTCTTTTTTATATGAAACGGCTATGTTCATTTTCTGAAATAGTGGAAAGACCGCATCGATCTTTCCGAACCGCTACTTATGAAGTAAAGCATACTAATTCACGACATTTTCATAATACGTCCATTTTACAACACAGAATTTAAAAAGTATAATCATTATAGAGATAATAAATAACAAAAACAAAATTAATTGCAATATTTTCAATCAGTTTGTTCAATTGAATTTTATTCTTGAAAAATAATATAAAATCACATTATAACTTTACTTCTAGTGTATCGTTAAGTGGTACAATATATCATTCAGACTGGCTAACAGCGTCTATAAAATATGATATCCGAGACCTCGAATTACGTTTCATTAATTATCCGACAATGCAAACGATAAACGAGCGAGACTCGAGCCGGAATGTCGGAGACACGATCCCAACGGTTAGGCGATTCGTTTCGGTATGAAAATAAAGTTGTTCCCCGGTCGAACGAGCAACGACTTCATCAGTTAACGTCGACGTGCTCAAAGACGAGAGTTTCGCGTTTTCCTTTTCAGTCAGAGCTGTCTGCTATACATGGGGGCGCAGATAGCATCGGGCATGAGGTTCCTCGAGTCGAAGAATCTGGTGCACAAGGACCTCGCAGCCAGGAACTGTCTAGTGGGCCGCTCTTACACCGTGAAAGTGACCGACATAGCGATGTGCAGTGACCTTTACAAGAAGGATTACAGTGACATAGGCGGCAGACCGCCGGCGCCGATCAGATGGCTGCCGTGGGAAAGCATTCTGCTGGTAAGTATTCTTCATGTCTCACTCTTCTTTTCTCACTCCCGGGAACTGTCAATGAACTTGAGTTTCCATTTTCCAGGACAGGTACACTTGCTCGAGCAGCGTATGGTCGTTCGCCGTCACTCTATGGGAAGTGATGAGTCTGGCTAGGGAGAAACCTTTCCAACATCTGACTAACGATCAAGTGATACAGAACGCCGAACATATGTATTACGGGGCCGAGTTGCAGGTACACTTCGTATTTCAATTAAATATAATGATTCAGTTCAATAGTCTTCGATTACGTTACACTATGTCGTAACAAATATTTTTTATTTATTGCAGATATATCTTCCAAAGCCGACGATGTGTCCCGAGGAGGTCTACAAGATGATGTGCTCGTGCTGGCGACGGGACGAGACCTCGAGACCGACGTTCAAAGACATTTACACGTTCCTGAAAAACCTGATCGCGGACTATCGACCTGGTGCATAAACAGAATCGAGATCCCAGTTAACTGTGATACAAAAATCGAACGGACGAACCTCCTCACCGGGAAATGAAAACCTTGATGAAAAGGGACTTGCCGGAAAGTGTACAATCGTTAGTTTTTAATGCAACACCGAGTTTCCCAACCGATGGAGAAATTTCGCAATGAGCCAGGCGAAGCCTTGAAAACTCTGCTCTCGATCTCTATCTTCAATTGTTCGGCGAAAATAAGAGAAAAAAGGGTAACAATAGGGAATCGTGAACGACGAGGATCGCCCTCGATATTTTCTAGTCAGCTCGGTCCTTCAATTCCTACGAAAAGTGCTGTATATCGTGTACAGTATTCTGAACACTGACAACCTGTATTACCGCGACGCTAAGCACTGACACACGTCTATCCACTTGTACATATGAGACTAGAAATTAGGTAAACGCTGGGAACTCTCACGCTGGCTGGTCCCTCCGAAACAAGCTGAATCCTATCATTTTAGAACAACAGTGCAAACTTGTTTCCTAAATCATTAAAATAACTTAGAACTCAATCGTTTATTTTTATTCGTTGTATATCCTTGTTGCAATAATATTATGAACCGATGTGTTATAAGAAAAGAAAATGTAGATTATTTAAACATTTATTACCCAATTATAGTGAATAATTGTTAATCCTTTCTTTTAGCTTTGCAGTTTAGTTTTATTTGTATAATGATATTATGGACTGATAAGAAGAAATTGTATCGAATACCATCGGCAGCGTGAAAATTCCACTTACTTGTACATTCGAGAGCCCGTCGTACGTAGCAAAGTACTTATATCGTTCCATTGTATTCCTTTCCGTTCGAGAGAAAAAGCTCACGCATCTTTAGCGGGCGTAGATTCGAATACCTGACTAAAAAAAAAACTCTGTTCTTCGCGATAACTTGAAATGCATAGTCATCACACTCCTTCCTTTGATTTATCACTAAGGGCAGAGGTGACGATCATTCTGTAAGAGTCGATTCGATTCTTAGGCTTCTCTAGAACGTTTGAACGCAATTCCAACCGAAGAACCTTGCCGTGTGACAGTATTAACAATCACGAAGTGCGGTAGGTCAACCATTATCCAACTTGATAAACAATTCCGTTTTGATAAACCTTCATGAGCTTTTCAATAATAATTGATGTTAAGAAAAGGAAAAGGAGATAATATTTAAAAGATAAATTGCATAGTTTTATGTCTTTACATAATTAATATTCGGACAAACAAGGTTTTTGTTAAATGATGTTGAGATAATTGAGTTCTACGTGATATTATCAGAGAACGATGGGAAGAGATGAAGAAATCGTGTACGCAGTTCGCTGTTGGTAAAGTGCCAAAAGGAGTGAAGCGTTCAAACGTTCACCTCTGCACGCACCTTTCTGTAATTCTTAAGGTCGATTCAAGTATACGTTGAAATGATTAACAATAAAGTACTGAGTGTTCCTTTCTGACTCTGACTGTTTTTTACTTTTCATCGTTGTAGGGATCAATGTTACATAAAAGAAATTCGTCATAAAGACATAAAGAACCGAAAATAAGACGTGATTTTTGTTTGACGAGCTCCGACCGTCAGAATGCTTCATGGAAACGATCGTTCCTTGAACTTAAAGATATTGCGAAGTCAATGAAATTTGCTCGTCAAACAAGTCAGCCTTAGGGGAAATACTGCTGGGAACTCCCCTCTACGTAATGCAGCAAATATAAAGTTATGTTCGCTTTATCTTAATAGGAAATGCCTCTCCCACAGAAAGGAAAAAGATAACAGTTAAATCTTTTAACAGAGTTCGCAAATGCATCGTCATATCTTTCTGCGAAAGAGATACGTGTTACATATTACTTACATTAGACCGTTTCTATAATATGTGTTTCATACATAAAGTGGAGAGATAACCGCGTGTAAACCTCTCCATGAAATCCGCGAACCGCTACCATATGCCAACAGAGCTCTATCAAACATTCATAAAACTCTGATAAACAGGACTGTACTTTAGTGACGGGTCACTTAAGACGTCCAGCCCGAATGGTTGAATGGTTTCACTTAACCGAGTATCCGAACCACTTGGTGGCAAAGTGGTGTCTCGAAGTCGAGTTTCGACCACCGACGAGCTACCCATATCTAAAGAGGTTGCCGGAACAATCCATGGGCAGGTATGACCGACTCCTCGACGCGGTTCCATTAAACGAGGGAGGAGTGCCGCTCATAAATCATCGGTAAACCTTTTATCGGTACAATTCGGATAACATTGCTGCGCGCCGCACCGCGCCCTGACGAGTCTCATTAATCTTTCCCCGGCGAAGTGCATGGATCCGACCCGATCATAGGCGACGAGCTCGGAAAATTGATGGCGATTTCATGAGAATCGGGGGGAAAAAAGGACCGGTGTCGCCTCGAACCTTTCAATACTTCCCAACGAAATTGTTTTCTCGTGATAGACCGTAATTTATAAAGGATGAGAAGTCGAATCCTGTATATTATTTTCATATAATTGATGAATCTCCGATGAAGTTTAATTATACCTCAAGTGAAAGTTACAATATTTAATTAGAAACACGATTATTTTTATAATTCTGTTGTATGAGTACAAACTTATTGTTAATCGTGTCTTTAATTAAACGCTAGAAATTCGAATTGTTGTATAATTAAAACTAGAAGACTGGATATGAAGTATGATCACAATTTCATCGACGAAAAACAAATACTAAAAATTGGAAAAAGTCGGCATGAACGAAAACAACGACGGATTCGATATTGCGCCGGTAACAGATTAAACATTAATCCGGTCGTCAACACGCTTAACAAGCTGTACATGCGTCGATTGTTTATACACGGGGAAGCACGGAGCTCCGGAAATCACCGAGGCACCGCGGTCGGATCGATCGGGATCGTTTCAAGATAGGAACGTGTACGTATGTAACAACATCGGTTGTTGGTAGTACATTGGTCCCAGGAGATAATGAAATGCACGAGGCGACGAAACGAGCTGCCGCGCCTGTACGCGCGTGTGCGTGACGCTTGTTCCTCGTTCTTACGTTTATATAATGCCCGGACCCGGGAAAGTAAGACCATTGAATCCGTCGACTGTCAAACAGGCGCGCGCGTTCCACAAAGCATCGTCGAACATCATGGGACTCCGTGCTCATCCTGTGCTCCTCGTCGCCCTCGCGGCCACCCTTCTGCTTCACTCCACTGGTAAGGAACGAAAGCCGGATCTATCACTTGACGAATAGTCGTGAGTCGTGAGCCACTTGAGTCAATCGAGACAAGTGTTTCTTTAAGAGTTATTGTTTCAAGTAATCAAGATGTATTGATTACCGTTAATTATTTCCTTATCATTAATTCAAAGAGGTTGTTCGAGATTACTTGTCTGTTATAAACGAGACTGTTTCCACATACTTCATTTTAAATTGAACACAGTAAAAAACGAAATCGTTCAGTGAAAAGTGAGAATGGCCTTCGAATCCTCATCTCCACTTTACATTTCGTATATAAGCCAAAATCAAGGTTGAAGGTTGCCATTTAAATAACACACTATATTCTCGATAGACACATTTAAAGACTAAAAAAGAAAGAGAAATAATTCCTCTAAACGGCTCATTACTGTACAGTGTACATTGCTGGTCTTTAGCATTTGGCGTGAAGGCCGATGAAACAATTTACAGAACGGAGTGGTGATAACGTTAACATAATTTTCAGAGTACACAACCGCGAATAGCATTTGTCCTCAGGAGAATTGTCTCGACTCGACGAAATGCGACGATTTGCTGGTCGGTGGAACGTGCCCGCAATCGAGCGACACGTGTTGCAGCGTTGGTGAGTCCACCAAACATATTTACAATCCGTTTCATAAGAGCCTTGGAACGAATCATCGGTCGATATAGCAAGAAAAGCGATAAAAGTTATCAGGTGTTCTTGAAACGGTTATAGACCAGACTACGGCGTTACTCGATTCGCGCCATAAACTTAGTCAGACTTACTTCGTCAGTCAGAATATTTTAAACCACGTGGAAATGAGAAAAATGTTTTGAACTGGCCGTCACAGTCGGACAGAAAAACGTATGAGTAATTATCCATTTCCTGCAATGACACTGAATATAAATGCTAAGAAAATCATTGCCAACGCTGAGAACTTCGTTAAAAATTTGCAAAAATGTTGAAAGGCAATACCAAACGATAGTAGGTATATTAAGTGAACTTTGATGTCCTTATTTAATTCTTAATTTTGAAAATATTTCTTCCTTCTTTGAAATATCGATCTATCGCTCTTGTGAAACTGTACATTCTATTTACAAGTAGTATTCCATTAATACTAGTAGTACTATTTCATAAATCAGGTAACCATAATTAACAGTTAAATATATAGCTTCGGATTAAGAAATTTCATTCTCGAAAATGCTAAAACTATTAAGCGGTCATGAATATTTATTATTGCGTGGCTAATAAGCAGTTCTTGAAAGAAACTCCTACACCGGCTTCGTTTAAGGCGTAATTTACGTGTTTCCAACCATTTCGCACGCGTGCTTTATCGATGTCCGCGAGCTAAGCGGGCGCATACATACTGGAACAGCACAGAAACCGGCACGCTTTCGTTTATTCGAGTCACGATACAAAATGCACAGAGTAATTATGAGGCGTGTATTTAACGATAACGTAACCCGCGTACGGTTACAACTTTGATATACCATTTGCACAGTGAACCCGTACGATACGAAGCAACACGCCCGTAATTTCTACTGTGCCAAATCGAATACTCTCGAGATTCACTTTTGCGCGCCGTGAATTTCGAACGAGCGACGCTTGTGACGAGTTAATTCGTGCGTCACGCTGCGGCGCGCACTTTCACAAGGCACGTCGCTTAGCCTACTCAAGCCTATTCTCGTTCTTCTAGCCAATCCTCTTTTCCCTTCTCAAATATTAGGTACAATATCATAAATTTAACTCTCTGCACAAGTTTTTTCCCATGAGGGAATCAGAAATGTTTAAAAGAAGATCAAAATCCACTTAAATAGCAATTTTTATCAGTTCCTCATATATGAATATATTCAAACACTTCTGAAATTATACGATGCCTATAAAAAATACTGGACACTTGAACTACGATGACTGCAAATTTTGTTGCAAAATAATTAAGCGATAGAATTTAAGACTAGTCACTTAATTTCTGTTCGCAGTGAAAACGGAGCACAGGACCCATTGCCGGCATTACGGTGGGGAATGTATGGACTCCTGCGCTCAATTATTGCAGCAAACGGTCGTCGATTGTCCGACCAACCAAGTCTGCTGCACGCTGGTTTATTGAGAAACGAGAGGAAAACCTGTCTACTATCTGAATTCTAGCGTTAATGTAAGCGATTAGTTTCGACGCCAGCTGCGACTCGTCGCATCTGTCGGTAGGAAAGCAGCTTAATTGGTTTTACAATTGCAACGGCGTGACTCGGCGAGGAAAAAATCGCGTGAGCTACGCGATAATCGCGTGCAGCGGATGTGGGACTCGTGACAACCGGTGCAAACGTGAAAACGCGTTTCGAACAATGGATACATATAATTCTAACGCAGATGCAAAAGTAATATTTTTCAAATGTAGACTGTATAAAGTGTAAAACTATTTATAATAAAACGTGCACGTTTTGTAGATGATCCGCATATTGCAGAACTTGTTCATTTTTTTCTTGTTCGTTAATTGAATCAATAATTGTACGAAAATCTCTCATTACTAAAAAATTATATAACACAATAATCTGAGCGATATGAATCGAGCGCAAATAACTAGCAATAAGAATAAGCAGGAAGGACGCGCAAGAAAATAAAGAGGAGCAGGAAGAAATAAGAAATAGATGGATGGAGGCAGGCGTAGCCTGCGGCGATGCAGCGGGCAGGACGCAGTTTGACGGTGCCGGGGACGCACGCACAGGAGATTTAGTGTCGTGTTGGTCAGCCCCGGAGGGTCACTCGGCGAGTCGTGCGCAGAGGAGAAAAGAGCCCGCGGCTTTTATCTCGAGTGTTCCCTGTGTACGCGAGTCGCAGAACCGTGAAACGATGACGAAGCGTTCTTCAATGCGGATTAACAAAGTTCGATAAGCGTAACGAGGGAAAAACTGCGTGCGTGCATATAGTTTATCTATATGAATACTGGAATCCGCATGAAACGAGTAGAGCGCGAACGAGCAAGGAGATACCTTGCCGCTGGCGGTACACGAGTAACATGTGACACTAAATATAGAAACACGAGACGGAGGAATTCCTATAAAAGAAAGGTAACGAAATAAACATCATAGTTCAAGCGAAAACGAAACTGAAAAAGAAATCTCTGGTGGAAGTAGAATTGGGACTTGTTTTGTTGAAAATGGAACGCGTTTCCATTTCTCTGATCTACAATGCTGTGTAAGGATGTACAGTAATCTCCGGATATATGGCTACCGAACGGAACCGGGACCGGCTATAGGGGTGGATTTCCTACAATCGCTCGTAAGCTCGCAGCATGGCAAAAAGTAAACCGTGTCGACTGTGCGAGCTCGACAAGAATAAACGTAGATAGAGCTATGATAGAAAAAAAAATTAAAACAAACGTTGTACATATTGTTATTGCCTACAAATGCGGTTTCATAGAATTTTCTTGTAACTCTAGTATTTTCTGAATAATCGTCGTGAGTATTAAACTAATTCCTCAGTATAGAATTTTGTAGAGTGATTAGAGTGTCAGTTTATTATTAATAACTCGTTAATTATCCTAGAGAAAAATGTTTGAAACAAAAGTTGTAGGTACTACAGATAAGGTTCAACTCAATTTTGATGTAATATCAATATTTTCTGAGTAATCAGTGAATACGAATCTGATTCCTCAGTATAGAGAGAAGACGAGTAAACATAGATCAGACTTGAGGCTCTCTCAGAGAATTGGTGGGAATGACCCGTGGTCATATATCCGGAGGTTACGGTACTGTTATAAAAATTGATAGTATCTGATTATGATGGGTGGAGAGATAATTGTGGAACACGGAATAGCAAACATGACTACAAGAAACACAATGCGGTAACCTTTAGTAACCTTTTTCCCATCAATGATCGCGAAACTATAACGCGAGGAGTTATCAAGAGGAGGGAAGCAGAAGACGACGACGGCGAAGACGAAGAGGAAGATGATGAAGAAGAGGCACACCTTGCCCGGGGCAATGCAGGCAGATGCCGGTACGTGTACTTACACACATCCATGCACGTCCACACGTAAGAGCCGTTTCGGTTAGCCCGGGGGCGGAGGCGCGGAATCATGCAGCGTAGAAGAAGGAGGAGGGCCCCTACCGTCCCGGCGGCCCCCGTCGCTGTGTGTGGAAGATGCCCCCGGGGGCAGACACAGAGGTGTACCCCACCACGAAGTGCGGCAGAGCAACGGTCGTTCCGCTCGAGGCGCGGAAACAGAGAGGAGATAGCGGCGAGCTTCATGAATCCTCTTGCACCCCCGCCTCCGCCATCCAACGGCCCTCCGCGAGCGAACAAGGGCGGTGGGCAGAAGGGGGCATCCACGGTGTGCCCTCAGGACATTTAGCGAGACAATACGCTTCGTGTGGCCTCCGGCAACTTCAGGACGGACCGTGCTTCTCTTCCATCCTCTACTCTCCGCGTTTCGTTGTTCCTCGTCCTATGCATCACGCATTTACTCCGCTTTCTATTGCGCAATCCTCGTTTTATTGTTTTATCAGACCCACCCGGGGATGTGAATTGGTTAGTTATTATTTGAATTATAAAAATGTATAGAAATATATAAGTTCGATATTGAAAGGTCTTATTAAAAATGACAGATTGAAAGATCTCTTTGATTAAGCCGATACAACTGCCAGTACAAACGGAGCAGACTTTGTAGAAAGATACTGTGCACATGAACCCAGTATTCAAAGTTCATGTTACAAATGATATCGAGATTGGAAAGCCCCTATGAGTAACCTAGGCTAGTATTTCAAAGTTCAGAAGGCAAATGAATAAGGAACAGAGCGTCGATCATTTTACAGCTGATCGTAACGAAAATTCCGATTAGAAACGCGGAAAGTTCGCCTGTTTTCAGAGGGAAGCAACCCCTTGGCTGGCTGCGTTCCGTCTTTCGATGTAATAAAGTGCACCTCGCTCGGGGTAGCTCTATATTTGTCTTCCCTTCTTTCCCTGGGCCCTTTCCCTCGGCCTTTCTCGCCATCCACCTTTTCGTCCGCCTTGTATGCTCGCTTGGAGGGAGTAACGATGCCCTGCGGCGGTCCGCGGCGCGGTTCCGCGGTAACGATAAGCAACGAAATGAAATATTAATGAAGTACCTGAGCGCGCGACCATTTTTCGCGGCCGTCTCACCACCAGCGCCTCGGGTGTCGGAGAAAAAGTCGCCCGAGCTCCAAGGGTTGGGCGACGGGCGCGGAGAATCGACGCGGGAAATAGAAAAGCGGGAGGAAGGGGAGGCGAGGAGAACCGTCGACGAAAACGTGTTTCGTTCCGTAGATAAAGGTAATTGATGACGCGGACAGATTTATTTAGTCGAGCTAGAACGAAATTGAAGCGGTGACTCGATATTTTCTCGGTTACTTTCGCTTAGAACACCGGGAATATACGACATTAACCACGCAACGAGATTACCTTTGGATTACTTTGTTCGCGAAAAGATTCTTGTGCACTAGCACAAAGAGATCTCTGATACGATTAATTGCTTACTTCTTTTACCAGTCGTTTTCTTCATTGCATCTAAGAATGAAAGAATTATCACGAGTATTATCGCCCGTACTGATTTAGATAACTCTGATTGGACAATGATGGAAAAAAGAAAATTGCTTTTTCCCCAGATGATTTCTTACGATTAGCCGCGAATGCAATTACCCGGACACCGCGGCTAATATGGATTCGTCAAGGAGAACGCGGATCGTTTGTGAAAGGGTTAATCTATCGTGATATATCATTCGAGCGCCTGGCGAAGTCAATCACAGCCACGTCGATCACGTTTTTGCCTCCGACACTTCATAATTAACGATCAGCTGGGACGAGAAAGATCGTTTGTCGCTGTCGCGTTTGTCCTAATCACGTCTTTAAACGTCCCTTGGAAAATATACAAGTTCAATTCTATCAAAACTAAAGTATTTGGTAGGAATTTTATAATTGAAAGAGGACCAGATGAAAATACTTATACAATAATTTATTTATTTATTGAACAGACTTCGAAAGCTGATAATTCATCTGTGTATGACTGAATAATATAAATTATTTACTATTCTGTTAAAATACATTCTGTCATTTCTGAAATAAATTCAGAATTCCTATTTAAGACAGATTCCTGTGTTTAAATACTACGAACCTTTAATCCAACCCAATATTTGATTGAAATGTAGAATCTTGCTGGATTTTTCTAATATAATTATATATCAGTTATAATCAGTTTTGAGAAATTAGGCATATGTAATAGTATGAGAAGACGAATTTGGAATAGAAACTTTGTATACTCTACTAGGAGAAAGCTTGGTACCATCGTTCGAGTTACCAGGAACAGGATACGGTACACGATAACTTGGCCAGGCTAATTCGCCGAAGCCGCGTTTTCGCGAACAATGCATGAAAATAACCCATTGCACACTTTTACCACGCCGGTTCATGTCAGCGTGGTTGCATTCGCGATGAATGCGAGATACCCCGGGCAATTCCCTAATTGCAGTGAGAGGCAAACGAAGCAGGAAAGAGAAGACGGCAGAGAGGAACGGACGGAGACGGTGAAAGCCGTAGGTGAAGGCGAAGGAAAGAGAGAAGGTTGCGCGCCGTTCTCGACGCTCCGAGCGCTCCGAAACTCTTTCTCCGCGGAGCTCCGCGGAGCACGCCACGTAGCATTCTGTCTATCTCCGTTCCATCCCGTGTTCGTATCCTTTGTCCCGGTCACACTATCTCCCCTCTCGCGACGTGTGCAAGCGCTTCGAACCGCGCTCGAACGCCCCCGCGAGCCAACACGGGCCAGCGCCTTCGTGTATCACCGTCTCGCTCGATCTTCACGATCTTCACGAGTCGCCCAGGGTCTCGACTGCCTATAAGCGGACTTCCTCGCAAACGGGCAAGAATAGCGAGCGGGTTGCTTTAGCAACGTTTCCTTCCTTCTTCTTCTTCTTCTTCTACTTCTTCTTCCCTTTTGCTTCTTTTGATGATAGTCGCGATCGCGATAGCCACAGTCACGTGGCAACGTCTCTTCAGCGATAATCCATTCCCGGTTAAAACATTATTCCAACGAAGATTCTTAATATATATATATGTATATAGAAATCCTTTCTTTAAAATGCAATCATTTCTGAATGGAAAAACGGGGAACGTATTTGCACGCGAAAGGTGTTATCGTGTTTTCCGTACCGTTTGTTGCTTTCAACCAGACGCGAAATTATCCCTGTACGATCTGGCGCGGAAATAAAAGGCGTGAACATTGCATGATCACTGAGAACGGAAAAAATGCGATGGGATAGATACGAAACCTGTCCCCGACATTCTTGTTGATTCTTACTCTCGCTTTCCATCTAGCACTGGTGGTTTGATCAAGTGATCGGAAATAAATATCAGATAGATCAGTTAATCAAGTAGCTTCATCCGTTGATCACGTGATGATCAAATCGGTGATCACGCTGTGAAATTGAACGAACTAACAAAATCTCAAATAAC